GCCCGCCGCGGGGTGCCACGGCGGGAGCCTCAGCTCCAGCCGCACGGCGACTCCCCCGGGCCCCGCGAGGTCGCCCACGTGACCCTGGAGCGCCCGCCCCGGGAGCGGCTCTGCAGCGCTGCGGGCAGAGGACACCCCGCAGACGGTGACCCTGGCCAGCTGCGCTCTGCCGGCTCTTCCTGACTGGACGTGACAAACGTGATGGCACCTGTTTTTTATTTATTTATTTTATTTTATTTTATTTTTTTGGTGTTTGGTATCAGTGTAGGTACCCAGATTTGAAGTACATCCAGGGACTTCACTCTGAGTATGTACCGGATAAAGTGCTGACAGAAGTTCGGCACGATGCCTGTAATCCATGTATACAGATGTTTATTGCAGTACCCAACACTTATTTTAAAAAAAGACACTCATTGCAGTGAAAGAATGAGAATTGCTACAGTGACCAACAGCACAGGGAAATGGTTAAGAACAGTGCAGACCTGTGAATTACTTTTTAGCTGAGTCGGTATACTCAAAGGGCAGATTCCAAGAGATAATGAATGTTAAAAGCAAAAGCAAAACCCAAGATACTTTGTGTAGCGTCCTGTTTTTTTAAAGAGAGATTTTTGCTATAGTGAGCATGCACTCACCAGAGAGAGAGAGAATTGGAGAAATCTCACCCCCCCCACCACACACACACATGTAAGAGTGATGGCCATGCCACGATCCCTTCTCCTCTCTGGATTTTGGGCATGCACACACATGTGCCTGGTGTGAGTTTTAGGCTGCTGGGTCTGGGATTAGAACCTCAGTAGTCTATGAGGGAGTCCAGTGACATATCCATTATGTCATCTGCTGGTTCCTATAGTGTGCTCTTTAGTGTAAGCAAAAATTACTTGAGATACAAATATGCAGCTGTGTACACAATTTAAAAACAAAACAAAACAATAAAAAGAGGGCCAGCAGGTGGTGTGGTGGTTAAGACCTGGATCCCACATGGAGGATTCTGCCTCTGGACCCTCAGCTTAAAACTCAGGGTGGGGGGTGGGGAGGCAGGAACCAGCAGATGGCATAATGATTATGTGACCTGACTTCCAAGTAGTTAACCGAGGTTGGAGTCTAAGGCCGGGCAACTTAGAACTCACACTGGGTGCATGTGTGTGCATGCCCCAAATCCCAAGAGGGGAATGGAGGAAAAGGGATTGCAGCATGGCATCCCCCCTGGGGGGTGATTTCTTGCTTTCCATCTGTCTCTCTGTCTTTCCGGCATGCCCCCCTATAGCAAAAAACAAACAAACAAACAAACAAACAAACAAAACAAACAAAAAAAACTCTCTTAAAAAAAAAAAAGACACGTCTTCGAGCCATCTACCATAAATCTGATCTTGAACAAGCCAAAGACCTCAGTAGCTACACATGCATACATACACAAGAAGAATGAGAGGAGGGGAAACTTCTGTCATCTCTGCCCGATGTGTTACTGTGGTTACTGCTGTGGTGCTATGAAGTGCTTGGAAAGCTACAGTGAGGGCAGAATAAACTGTTTTGCCCCATGTCTCAGATGTATACAAACAATCGAGGTAGGAGACAGGGGCCCTAAAAATATAGGGTATAGGCCCTAAATGGAATCACAATGGCTAAGTTTTTTTTTTTTAGAATTATTTTATTTAGCTATTTATTTATTTATTTATTTATTTAAATTTGACCAGATAGAGACAGAGAAAGAGAGAGCGGGGGTGGGGGTGTGGGGGGTGGGGTGGTGAGAAAGCTAGCCGCCAGATCCAGGACTCAAACCGCAGTCAGCCATCTGGGAGTCCAGCGCCCCCTAACCACTATGCCCCCTGCTGGCTCCAATAATGGCTAAGTTTGAAGATGGAAACAAAGCTGCTGGGCTGCTTGCTCAGGAGAGACTGCTTCCAGTGGTGGCTCAATGATTGACCTAGGCAGCATGACCTGACTGAAAACAAAGGTTTTTTCCAGGCCCCACCAGGATCTACAAAGAGGGTAAGATAATGATTTTTATGGCCCAAAGCTTCTAGACAAAGAATCTCCTGACCTTTGTACCCACTCTAAAATTAGGAAAATAACACAATCTATCCAGGATGGCCCCTCTCCTCCTCTGTGAGGAGAATGGAGAACACATGCCCAAGACCCATCTGCACTCACCAAAATAAAAACCTCTCGGCCCCGTTCTTTCTGGGCAACCCGTTTTCTTGGACCCGTCCCTTCTTGGGAGATATTTTTCCTTCCTTTTCCTTCGGTAAACTCTCCCCTTTGCTATTCCCACCGTGTTCAGGTCTCTAATTCCTCCTAAGCGAGGGATAAGAGAACCTGAATCTTATTGCAGGTGCAGGACCCTATCACCCCTTAACTCCAGGCTCCTGCGTCACAACTGCGTGTAGGAAATACACACAGAGGCGCGCACATCAGGTAAAAGCAAGAGCCCACAAAGTCCACAGGTCAGAATAAATGTTATGATTCCTGCTCTTATTTTATGTCCCTTCCTACACCCAGTAGAACATTCTAGGCAGCGTGGGCACTGCTCTCTTTACATTCTACCTGCGACTTTCCGAGGGCGCTTCTGCCTCGAGAAGTTCCTCCTTGAACCAGTATATCTGTCTGTCCTTTCCCCATTTGTCCTTTCACCCTATCCTCTCACCGCTTCTAGCTTTTGCCTACTGGCGACACCTAGTGGTACATAGTGGCATGAGTTTTGGTAACTGCCACCTAAAACTCAGGCTTTTTCTCAGTGCTCTTGGCTTCCAGTTAACTTCGTGGAGAAATGGGTACAAATACCCCTTCTCAATTTTGTGAGCCCAGTCCCTCCGCTCTGAGCATCCGTTGTTCCTAGACAAGTTTTTCAGCACCAAACCCTTCCTTTTAGGTTGAAAAACTGCTTTGATCCACACAAAGTCTGTCTTGTGAGCTGATGAAGAAAGGTGTTTGTGAGCTGCTAGTTTCTCTTCAGTGAGGTTTGGGGGATTCCCACTCATCTGCATTTTCTACTCCTACAATCCAGAAAAGGAGAAACGCTTCCCCCTTACTAGCCACTGTGGGATAATGAAAGGGAAGGTGACTTTAAAAACTGCCTATCTGCTGAGGACTCCAGGAGGATGAGTGTCGCCCCGGAATGTATGAGCTCTTTCCACCTGGGTA